GAACAATAATCCTCTACGACACTCCCTTAGGTTTACTTTTCATTGAGAACTACCTCAGCTGTCCCAGGTAGGCAAGGAAAGTGACTAGAAGTCACTTGGAAGAATCCTAGGTAATAGGAACCTATCAGGAAGAACAGTCTTGAAATATGTGGGATAATCTGAATACTGGGAAGAGGAAGGTCCGGGAAACACTGCACTAAGGGAACCCAGGAGGCTGAATCAGCAGCGTGTCACTAGATGTGAGCATGGAGAGCCAGCTGAGCTCCTGCCAGAAGTTACTAGGCTCTGGTATTGAATTAAAGCTCTAAATCCTAAGGGATTTAGAGCAACCACCACCCCCTACTAATTCCTGAGTGCATTAATAAATGTTGCCAGCTTTTCTCATTGGATGCAACTAAGCCATTCTTAATTTCCATGGTCATAACTACTCTAGAAGGTGAACATTAATTCTTTCCTCTTTTAAAGGCTTGTTCTCATTTATTCCTGACTTTTCAAAATGTAAATCCATTTTCTTCAATAGGTTCTGTTTGCATTTTTATTATATTCACTAAAGGTATCTGAAATTAAAAACTGAACTCAGTAGAAACCCAGTCACTTCCCTGTGTGCCTTCTTAGATGTATGTTATTTAAACAAACATTGGTATTTTCATGAAACAATTGACCTTCTTCCCCTACTGAGATACAATCATGTGGATTCCTGAATTTTATAAATGTAAGATTACATTTGAGAATTATTTAACTGATTGTACAGAACCTGTTACCATGTCAGTATCAAATGCTTGACTCACCTGAATTTGAATACATGCATGAGATACATATCAACCACAAAACCAATTTCAATAATTTGTTTAAATGTCTACAAAAACGTGAGTCTGTCCGCTTCCCAATAAACTCCAAGCTGTTTATTTCATAATCAAAAACAACTCTTGTTTTTTAAACAATCCAGCTAAGTACCCAGATAGAAAGAAAAGGCAGCAATTAATCACAGAGCATAAAACCAACAATACTTGCCCCACACTGCATTCTTCTACAACCCAAGCCTTTCCATATTTTTCAGTCATTCTAGTCTTAAAATGTATCCCACTTCTAACAAAAGCAAGCCTATTGTTAATTTAGGAAATATGATCTAATGGTCAAAAAGCTAACATTCATAATCACTATGAATTCAATACTCTGTATTTTATAAAGCTGTTTGGATATCACAAGTCAGCAAATATGACTTACTATTATCCAGCAACTCATTTGCAAGGGCAGTTCATTATTCTCAATATTTTCTACTCAATTTAAAATTTTGGTTATTTGCTTATCTACCTCAATATTTCCTTTGTCTACTGAATATCCATCTTATTTTATCTTAAAAAAAAAAAACCCTCTACATATAGATCAAACAGCATTTAACTTTTGGCTTCTCTCCTTCCCACATTTTATTTTCTGATTTTCAGCTCAATATTCTTTCCAGAAAGCAATTTTCCTTTGCTACGTGTAATTTTGTAACCATTTAGAAAAGAAATGAAATCCACATTGTTTTACTCTCTCATATCTTTACTCTCACATTCTTTTCAAATGGTCACACTGCTACCCAAAAGAGAGCAATTTATGTCTGTAATAAAATGACATTTCTTAGAAACATAGAAATCAGTTAGCAAAGATTTCATTATCAAGATGACAAAAAATATCATTTAAAGAAATCCCATACCACAGACTTATACTCAACTTCGCCACCTTGGATTTAAATTATTTCTTACATTGATCGACGGAGAGAACTAGATTACGTAATACAACAGCTTCCCACTGCAAAAAATGAATGAATGCGTGGGCATGGGCGTGACCCGTGCCTGGCGCAGACAGCCAGCCAACATGAAAGGCGATGCCAACCAGGAACGGGTCACGGGATGCTGTCTCATGCAGGTGGCACATTTAGAACAGAGAATGTGACACTCATACACTTTCTCATTCTCATTAAACAGCCACTGGAGATTGCGATCCACTCACTGTTGTAGCCACTGCTGCCGCTAGCCTCTGCCGGCGCCGAGTTGTGTTGAACTGGCCCTTCGCGGGTGGCCCTTCCTGACAGTGAATGGGAGAAGAGGAGGGAGGAGAAAACACGGGATGGGGAGGGAGAGGACAGGATATGTAGGATGAAAGATAATCAGACAAGGGAAAGGGAGAATTTAACTGAAGTTATCTTTGCCTAAATTTTAGCTCCAATAGTAGCCTGAACGGACATTCATGCTGTGAGAAAAAGTGATTCACCCAAATACTTCACTTAAGGGTATTTGTTGATTGTAACCCCCACCCCAAAAGAAGATGTATAGTTATGACTTGATAATAGCTTGTGATTTGAAGGTAAAATAAATGTACCGACTCTTTTATTCATGCAGTATCACTTTAGACAAAGTCATATGGCATTCAATAAATGAAAGCAAAGAAAACGTAAGTTCAGGAAAAAGTGACTCAACTATGGTGATGGTATATGGGTGATGTGGTGATGGGAAGCCCACGGGGATTACAACTGAGATGGGAAAAGGCACAAAATGATGTAAAAATAGGCTATTATAATATTTTTAAAAAGTGATTCAATAAACAATAACATACTAAAATGAAGAAGCTGTAAACAGTCTCCTGTTAGCAAGTCAGAAACTTTTTCTTTCTTAGTGGGAGGAAGAAATAAGGCTAAGAGTACCAGGAAACCTTAAATTTCCCATTTACTCCTATAGTGAAAATCTCTTTGGATACAACATTAGGGATGATGCTGGAACTTTCCAGCTGAAGAATTTTCCAAGGGGGAAATCAATCTCTATACCATAAGAAAAAGCTCCCTCGCTCCTCATTGCATTGGGATAATGTCTGCAAAAATCGACTGTAAGAACCCAGAAGCTAGGCCCTCCCCAGTGGCACAGGAGGTTAAAGCACAGCATTGCAAGCCAGCCGCAGCCGCTTCAGTACGTTTGATCCCTGGCCCTGGAAGTGACCCACATGGTGCAGCAGTGTATTCATCAGTCGGCCTGTTCTGCTCCCCACTCTGTCGCTGGTGAATCCTCTCACCACTCCTGCACCTCTGGCCTGTACCCTAGTTCTGTATGCATAAATCAAATAAATCTTAAAAAAAAAAAAAAAGAACCCAGAAGCACAGCTTTCATCTAATGTCAGGCTTCCAGCTGGGAGCCAGTAGCAGAGTCCGAGAGAGGCCTGATTTCCTCTTTGGTGAGTGGGGTCTAGAGAGGTTGACATTTCCTTCTAAGCACTAACTCTGCCTCCTTTTGACAGATTCTGACTCTTCAGAACTATGAGCCATAGTTCCAATTCCAATGAACTGAAATGTTCTTAGAATCTCCTGCCAATGCAGATTCAGAAAAAATAGTAAAGTTGCTTTAACTTTACTGTTGTAATAACAATTACAACAAATTAATTGCTATAATGTCATTTCTCTATAACATTTCCAAGTTTCATTGATATTTTTCTTCAGCTTTATAAATCTTCTGCATTTATGTTTGTTTTCTAGACATAATATGTTTTCCACAAAACCTTCTATACAAAATCCTTCATGTTTAATGTAGCTTAACATAAAAAGGACTTGTACCCATCAATGTGAGCTGAGTATCCATGAGTTCTAGGATGGCTACACATGAATGACATCCAACCATTTCATCCACTAGTCATTATGTCTTACTATTCCTCATTCCTTAACAACTAGAGATCAAGAAGTATTTTAACAGTTCTCTCCTCTATAGGAAACCTTTAATACTATTCTTTCCTTGCCCTCTTACTCATTTAAAGCACAAAATATTACTGCATAATGATGATGTTGAGATTTCTATTAGAACCAGAATTATGAAGCTTCAGAAACAGGAAGTCATTTGCTAAAATGCAATCACCACAGAGCCTCTAGGTCAAATGCTGCCTTTGGTGAGTTAATCAATGATTTCCCACTGACTTCCAATGAAAATACGACAACAGACATCCAAAACTTAGTTTCAATGAAACAACATCAACAATAACAACAGTAACAACCACCATATCAATGCCATAAGTCTAGGCTCCTTCACAAATGGCAGGGGACTGGATGTCTCAAGCATGAGAGTGGAAGGCAAATCAACCTCACTACAAAAGCCTTTTAAGTCGGCTGCTACCATGCCCATCAGAGAAGGTGGTTCAAGTAGTGAGATGGCTATTGGTCTGAAAACAAATAGCTGGTACCATTAAATGAGGTTCTTATGACCAAGGCACATTTTAAACAGGAAGAAAAAAATCTATTAGGATGGGAAAAGGTGGTAGGGATGTTTAACCTGCCACCATAAAATAAAAGTTATGCCTGTGTAGGTAAAATATGGATGAACAATGATATTTATATTGGTCAGAGCATCTCTAACTGATTTTAAGGCTTTCCATCCAATTGTACACATTAAAGAAATTTCAACTAACTGCCAGTAATAGAGAATGACCATCCTATTAAGCCTCATCCTATCAAGATTCAAAGCCTGTTGGCTTGAGGGAACAAAAAAGGCCCAGGGATTGTATGAAATTCTCCAACAGTCACCCTTTCGGGGGCTTCTCTGACATTTATTACTTACCATCAACACTCCCCTCCCCAAGTCTCTTTCTCCATTAACTTTTTAAGTCTAAATTCTTCACTGAGTGTGGGAATGAGACAATTTCAACTTCCCTCAAAAATAATTAAACTGGAATCACAAGGGTGATTTTGCTATTCTTTGACAAAACAGAAAAAAAGCACAGAGTCATAAAGACAATTTAAAAGCAAACCATCCAAAGATATGGTAGCAGTACAAATGAAAAATATTTTATGCTTTTTGAACAATTTCTTTTGATGATTCAAAAAAAATTTCATAACCACTCTTCATATAGAAAAGCGAAGCCTGTCAGGCTTTCCCTGGTGGCAAAACAGGTTAAATCACAGCACTGTGAAGCTGTCTGCAGCCACTGCAGCATGAGTTCGATCCCCCACAAGGGGGGTGACCCACATGGCACAGCAGACCTCTCCTGTCCCACCTGCTACTCCCCTCTGTAGTGTACTTCATAGTCTGACTGTTCTGCTTCCCACTCTGTCTTTGGTGAATCCTCTCATTGTTCCTGCACCTCTGGCCTGTACCCCAGTCCTGTATGCATAAATAAATCTTTTAAAAAGAAAAGAAAAGCCTGTCACTAGGTAGGCAACTTAGAGCTGGATTCTGTTTCCATCAGAAAAAAATGAGGGATACAGGGAGCATGCATAGATGGTCTTCTGCAATAGCCAGGAGCGGGGGCACCCCACCCAGACTCACTCAGATGCTACCTATTCCACACCACAAGTGTGAATGGGAATCTGTTTGCTGGCATGTCTTCTAAAAACAAGATCCAAATAGCATCTATCTACAACAGTGTGTGTTTCTATGTGGCTGGCTTTCTTCAATTATCTTATTTTTTTCTTTTTGTGGCTATGATAGCCACAGATAGTACGCTTAAAAAAAAAATTAACAACCAAAAAAAAAAAATTAGACAATCTCATGCACAAGACAACTGGAACTGCCAAAAGCAATTTTAGGTAATTTTCTTGGGAAATTATTTGGCATGTTTGTCTTCCCAGTATTAATTTTCTGACTAAAAGAGAAAACAAACTGAACAAAAGAATACAAAAAATTGTGTTTGTAGAACATGGACACTCTAAATTAAAAAAAAGAGAAAATGGAGCTTTCGTGCTTAGAAAAATATATTTTCAAATATACCAGATTAGCAAGCAGAACAGTAAAGAGTTTGTTATTTACACAGTCAGAATTACAATGGTCAGAATCAAGGTATTAGTCTTTATTCAGAAGACAGTGACAGAGTTCTGAAAAGCTGTTCCCTTTACTTTTGTATTATAATATAAATTGATTTATAGTGTCTTAAAAATAAAATCATAATATTAATTTTAATTTTTGTTAAAATCATAAGATTTAATTTTGATTGTGCAGGACAAGAATTCTTCATAAGATACAATTAGGGTCAGAGTATTAATGAGACTAGTTTAAAGAACTGAAAGTAATCTGATTTATGACATGTGAGATTTTAGGCATTTGCCATAGTCTGCATCATTGCATAATATGATCTCACTTTAAAAAATTAAAGCTACTTATTTCAAATAATTCAAGAAAATTTACATTGATCATTAAGTCTTTAATGATTCAGATATTTAAAGTTAAAGGTGAAGGTTAAATAATAATGAGTTTTGTAGAATCATAGAATTTTAGAATTGGAAGGGAATTCAAAGATGATTATTAATTTTATCACTTTACCCAAGAAAAAAATGAAAATCCCAGATATTTTACAGACATGCACAAGATTAAAAAGTTAGGAAATCAGTGTGAGTAGATTGCAACCTAGATTTGTTGATTTCCAATCTACTGCAGCCTTTTTTATTGGCAGAATCAAGTTTGGACAAAGCTAACATATAAAAGGTTCTCTCAAGTCCTATGAGTGTCCGTTACAACTCACCGAATTTTTAGTCTAGATTTTTAATTTGACTTTTGGTGAAAATATATTTTAAAAGCCACAATGAAAATGCCACCTTAGAGCCATATTGAATGATTTTAGCTATTTAAAACTTATTTTTATGCATGCTAGAATATGAAGATTTCCCACTATTTTAGTTAAAGTCAATTTTTAAAACAATTAAGCAGCTCTCTCCATCTCATTTCTATGGACTGATCTATAAACACAAATATTTCTTAAGTATATAAAAATATGAAGGAGAAATAAAGTCTGTACCTGCAGTTGTATTTTTGTATCTTTGCTGACACTTTTTGTTCTCCATCGTCTTGTGACTCGTTTGTCTTTCTTTGAAATATCTACACAGTTAGCCTACATTATACAAATAGTTAAAAGCAACAAAAGATTATTAAATTCACACCAATGATGAAGGCATAGCTAAAGACAGCATAGCAAGTTAGTTAGAAATCACTGTTAAACACCTAAAGCAAAACAGTCAGGAGAGAAGGCATTTAGCTGACATTCAAAGCAGAGACAATAATTCGATCATAATATATCTTTTTTCTGCTATGCAAAATGAAAGGTGTATTAGAGATCATTAGCATTTTTTTCTACATGGAAAGATGCTAAGACCAACTGTACGAAAATTGTATCTTCGAATTTGTCATTTTTAACACAACACCAACATGGAAGACTGACTTAGATATGTATTTCCATTAATTACTTTGGATTTATATGTATAAAAATGGAATGTAATAAAACATTCTGAAATAGACAACATAACACAATGACATCAAGATTCAGTATAAGCTAACCTGTATTGCAGCTATTTCCCTTTAAATATTACCATATATATTCATAGAACAGTTCAGTAAAAATTATTAGTTAACATTTCAAAGCACCTTTTACCAGCAACAACAATATGTTTACCTGCATATCAGTGAAGTTAGGTGCTGATTGAGTTCTCTGAAGTATTTCCAAATTTTGCAGGAGTTTGCTAAGTTCCACTAGGTTTGACTGGCAGTGCGCAAGGTCTAATAAAAAAAAAAAAAAGACATGAGAGGAAGTCAGGAAGAGTGGTGATGGCAAGAAAAGTGATTCCCCAGCCACATGATGGCAAATATGATTAAGTAGATATGTATTTGTATAATAACAATGGTAAATAAGAGACTCTTCTCTGCTTTAGGTGCATAAAGCCAACACCATTTATTAGATGATTTCTTACAAATTAACAGCTTGTAGTATAGAATTACTGAAGTCTTAGTCTGTCTATGGATGTGCTCACTCTGCCCTGATGGGAGCTATCTCACCTACCACACTCAAGAGAACTGCAGCTCTACAGTACACAACTTCATTCTAGGACTTCATACTGTCTACTGCTCCTGAAGCAGTTTACAAGCCTAAAACTTGGGTGCTAAGTCAAGTCTAGAAAAACTGATAAAAAACAAAGTCAAATAAACATTTGTCTATAATTTAGCTCACTAACAATGAATAATTTCATTAAAATCTACCAGACACCTCATGTTAAACAAAACAAAAATCTTTAAAGTGCTCCTTGGCCTAGCAATAACACCATCAACTGGGGATGTAACTTCATCTGAATTCATGTTTAGGATGAACACGTGACTAATTAAAAATATTTGGTGTGTATCTGAGAAAAGTTTAAGATCTGCATAACAAAACATCCCCTTAAAACAAACTTAGCTTTTGTATGGGAAATTAAATAGTCAAGAATATTATGATATTAGCATTACTCAATTACTAAGTACTATATTTAGAATATACCTCCCAGTTAAGTGATGACATTTACATGTGTATTGTATATGAAGAGCCTGCAATATTAGAAAGTGGTTGCTCTTACTTTGTGGTCAGTTTGATAAAAATTTCATACATGTATATAATTTATGTATATAATTTCTGTTTCTCATTAAATCTCAAAAATCTGAATTGCTTAAAGATGACACATGCAGCAAAATAGCACTCTTAAACATGGTTAGTGATTAGCTGGGTAAATATCAGATACTTATGCTTAGGTATTTTTGACATTTTTAATGGGGATGAACTAAGAGGATAACTACTATATGGAGGTCTGTATGGGCCAGGAGATGAGCTATATTGGAGAGTGGGCCAGCGACGATTCACAGTAGGTCCCTGCTCTTGGCAGCCTCAGGGGGGAACCTGGCAGGCTGTTCAGTAGCTGTTTGTCATTTGATCAACTAACTCTTGGCCACCAATGTTATTTAGTTTGTTTTATACATGAACAACCCATGGAAGTGGGGAAAAGAGAGTGCTGAAGGGGTCAGTGCCCTCCACCCCTTTCATTTTTAAAGGAGGCAGCACCCTGTACACCTGCATCCTTCTACAAGTAAAATAAAGTGGTTCAACAATGAGATCCCATCTCGCACCTATGAGAACAGCCCACATCAAAAAGGCCAGAGACAACATGTGTTAGTGAGAATGTGAAGAAAAGTGACAATGTGAAGAAAAAGGAATCTTCATACACTGTTGGTGGGAATAGAGACCATGGAAACCAGTATGAAGACTCCTCAAAATTTTAAAAATAGATTTTCCCTATGATCCAGCAATTCTGCTCCTAAGTGTCTGCCCAATGAAAGCTAAAACACTAATTCAAAAGGCTAGAAGAACATAGAACTCCTATGTTCACCATAGCTCTATTTACAGTAGCCAAATTATAGAAATAAACTAAGTTCTCAAAGACAGATGAGTGGATCAGGAAGATGTGGTGTACATACACAATGGACTACTCTCAGCTTTTATTAAAAAAAGATGAAACCCTTCCATCTGCATGATTTCATGGATGGAACTGAAAGGCAGTATGCTGTGCAACATGAGTTAACAGCAGAAAGACAAATACTGGAGATGGTGTCATTTACATGTAGCACATAGAGAAACAAACCAAACCAAAAATAAGCCCTAGGAATCTGACCATAGAACTGAGGCCCGCCAGAAGGGTAGGGGGGGAAGTAGACTGGGAGGGGGGTGCACAATGGATCCTGATGGAGGACTATTAAGTGCAAATCTAAGGGTGTGGTCCATACCTCTAAAGCATATACAGTATTGTAACCAGTGCTGCTGCAATTAAAAAATAATAATAATTAAAAGAGAAAAGGAAGTGTTTCAGGAGGGTATGAAATACAGAAGATAAAAGGGCATAAATGGGGTTAGAGGGAGAATGGAGCTGACTAGAAAAAAAGGTTGCTGTATTTTAATTTGCCTTTTAAAGACCTAAACCACAAGTTAAACAGCCACTTGGGACATGAGTTGACATTATCATTCCACCGAGTATTCTACACAGTAAATATGACACTCATATTCTTAGTCGTGTGATTGTTCTACACAAAGTGTTATATAGGTAATATGGAAATCAGGATTTGGGGCTTAAAACTATCATGATATGATGTAACATTTTTTTTTTCTCTCTAACAAAACAGAAAGAGAACTCTGTGAATAAGTTTCATCAGAGAAAGGACTCAAAACAGCCAGGAAACAGATTCACTATACCTTCCTCAGTTGCAGTTTCTTGCCTGTCAAGTGCTGATAGTAATATTTACCTCTTACTTTCCTAAATAGGCTAGAAACTGAAATGGTAGATGAGAAGTCTATGAAAACCAGAAATGATCTTTACAGAGTATTAACTGCGCTATGATTAATCATACTCCTACAATAAATCATACCATTCCTGGTCATTTTTTTTTTCATTTAAAATTATGTAAGAAATGGAATCTGGCAGGATTTCACAGGTTGCCTAGTGCCTGGCTATTTATAAGGATTACAAAGAGTTGCTTAAGATAATAAAAATACCTCTAGTAAAGGGAATTTCCAGAATTCCATTAAATTAATATTAAATCTAATTATACATTGGGTGGAAAAGGAAAAACTATGGTAAGAAGGGACTGTTGAGATTAAAAGCTAAATATATAGCAGTTTACTTATTTTCACATCATGCTCTAACTTGTTCCAGAAAGAAACATGTTATCCAAGTATGGAATGGTTATATTAGTAAATCCAAAATTACTCATTCATTGTTTCATTTAGGTACTAGGGATTGAGAACATACTACGTATCTAGCATTTCTAAGCTCAGGGTATTTACAGTAGTAAGCAGCACATAGTTTTAAAAGAATGTACATAGTCAACAAAGCTATATTTTAAATTATTGTGGACCCCTCTGTTATGATGAGGTGTATTGGCGTATGAAGACGGCTTACAGAATACCAATACCATGGTGGAAAAACGCTCTCCAAGAGCCAAGCAATTCCTTTGCATACTTGAGAAGAATCAGACTGACAGAAATCCAGGGTTATAAGTAGTCAACCACTTTAAGTATTAAAACTGTAAGTCAAGTAGGGGGTCAAGAAGATGTTATATAGTGAACTTCTAAAATACAACCAACCTCAAAATAGAGGACTCTCTAGGAAATGATTACAATTGATCAAAAAAAAAAAGTGCTGTGGAAATGTAGGAGGGAAGAATTACTATAGTTTATGGTCATCAGAGCAAACTGAAAAAGAGACTAGAGTTTTTTCTGGGATTAGAGGAGTGTTGACAGGGTTAAGGAAAATAAAAGATGGAGAAGTAAAAAGAGAACCTGCAGGTTGGGAAAGACCTGTGCAAAGACCAGGAGGTGGAAATATGCAAATATGCTCAGGAGGTAGTTAATATGTTTGGTGGGATTGCTGAAAGGATAGATAAGGCCAGAAAGCTAAAGTTGCATGTTCACTGCTGGACTAAGTAGTTTAGACTAAAGCCCCAGAGTCCATGGAGAACCACTGGAAGAGATTTTTGCTTTCAAGCTATTTAAGAAATGTCAGTCTTAAGGGGACTTTACGTAGTGAATAAAAAAACTGGTCTTGGGGAATTAGTCAAACTTGAATCGGCTGGAGTTCCAACCTCTGTACGAGGGCACTGTGTGATCCAGGCCTCATTCTTTACTTCCATGAACTGCATTTCACCTTCCCCTGTGAGGCTCGGACTGTAGAGTACTACACCTTATAGCTGAATGCAATGGAATAATGTCTGTCATGGGGCTGCAAGCATGTTCCGCTCCCAGCGGACTTGGAGCAAGAGACTAAGGGTGAGAAAACCAGTCTGGAGCTGGGACCAGTGCAATGATGGGGCAAACAGTGGGTCTGAAATGGGAAATCAAGGAAGGGAACTCAAGAAGAATGGGAGTGAGGGGGAGGTGAGATGTTTTCAGAGTAATCCCAGAACTCAGCCTCATCTGGATGAATAGAGCGGCAGGAACAAAGACGACTCTGAGGTTTCAGACAGAAACAAGTTCAGAAGCTAGAACCACTTCCACGGAAGAGACAGCTGGGTTTCAGAGAAGCTGAGAGCAGGCTGAGCCAGAGCCTACACAAGGAAAGGACCAAAAGCAAAGGAGGCATTGGGGATGCAGCACAAACCTGCTGGAGCTTTGAGGTTTAAAGTGTTTTCAGTCTTTTTGAAAGGAATAGGAATATTTACTCTGGAGTCAGACCACTTAATTCTGTGTCTAGTGTGACCCTGATCGAATGAGCGAACTTCTCTGTGCCAAAGTGTTACCAGCTGTAAAACAGAGTTGAGAGGACTGCTAGGGTCTCCTATCTTAAAGAATATGGCTCATCATTTCTACTTGGTACAGCTTGGTGAAGATTTATACAAATCTATGTATGTAAAGCACTTTAGCTCAGTGCCTGTTCCATAGCAGAGAGCCAATAAACTGTAGCTACTATTACTGATGCAGACGGCATAGACTGCATCCTGAATATCCACAGGCAAGCTTGGCCAGAGGAGAACCTCAGAGACACAGGCGGTAGAGCAGAAGAAAGGGGAGGCTTCTGGGGGCCTCAGGGAGGAGGCTCCATGGGGAACGTCTGGCAGAGTAGGTCAGAGATGAGGCCTGAGAACAGAACCAAACTCAGATGACCCTCTGCTACAAAGAATGTTTTTTTCCAAGGAGTCAAAAATCAATTACAAGGCAGAAACTGGAGCAGATTCCAGCAGAGAGCAGGAGAATGACATGGACAGACTCATAGTTATCTCCAAGAGGGGAAACAATTATGCACTAAATCCAAAGCAAAATGGAAAAGCAGGATGCAGTGCACATACAACAGTCAGGATGAGGAAGAAGAGGGGCACCCCCAACTGGAAGGGCACAGGGAATGGGCCTCTGAGTACCCTGAAACAAAAGCTTCGCTCCTACTGGCCTGGGAAGGGCTGGAGATGGGGTGGGGTCACTGGCAACTGATTTTTTTTCAGATGAATGGATTTTGTCCCAATGAATGGTCCCAATCTTTTCAGCCACGTAGGCAGCAGGCTAAATGCCATGAATTGTATGAATGAAGAAGATGAAGTACAGGTTAAAAAGGCTGGAACTGCTGCTGACATGTACCTGCAATGTTCTAGGAAAGGGAGGTTTGACTTCTTGACCCAACCTGAAACTAATACACTCAAATTAATAGCTGTGTGTTTGCAAATACATGCAATAGAACTGTTTTAATGGTATGTCATGTGTTATGAATATTGCATCCCTCTTAAAATCATATTTTCACATAAAAGTTGAATTTGTAATATATACAGAGAGCTAATAAAAATGCTGCAGACTTTGAGTTCACAAATGTAAAGCAAAATATAGATATATGAGGGGGAAGAAGTTAAGAAGCCAACACAGATTGTCAAACTTTAATTTTTCCAAGTGGGGACATAAAAGTTGAACCTCTGTTTTTATCATAATTTTATTTTAAAATGAAAAGAAAAATTAGATCCAACAGCAACCCAAAATAATTTTAAAAATTAAATTATTTTAGCCTTATTAAATAGTTTGTATTATCTTTGTCTTTCTCATTTTGGAAGGTTATTGGATAGAAACATTCTGTAGGTCAAATCTGGATCAATGTGCTCAGGTTAATTAAAAGGCAGGAGAAAGTATATGGCGATTCAGAGGTTCAGAGACGGTAGTGCGAGGGAACCATGTATCACTTCTGAATATTCAACAACTGACCCACAGTGGGAGGCCTCTAACAGGTGACTGGAGGATGCCATACAGTGGAGTTGTGCTGTTTATCGCCAGTCTGTCAAGACCTAGACGCTTGTTTCATGGACAAGACAGACTGGCAGAGCAGGCAGCTGTGGAAGTGTCCTCACCATCGAGGGGCATGTCAGAGGGTGCTGTCCTCAGGGTCCAGGACCCTGCAAGCCCACAAAGCTAGAGGCCACTGGTAAGAAAGATGAGGTGAGAAGGCTGTAGCAGTCAGGGTAAAGCCAAAACTTTCACTATACACGAAGGTGCAGGAGAACTGTGAGCTAAGAAGCACAGGTCACTGGAAGGAGAAGGATTTGGTGTCAAGGCAAGAAAAAGAAAAGGTGGAAGTCATCCAAGGGTGTGTGGGTAGAGGGAGAAAGGTGCAGCACCCACACTTCACAACATGTTCCTGAGTTGTTTCACTTCGCTTATTCTGCTGGCCCACGTGGGACCAGAGCTCACCTTCCGCACACCTGTCCATTTCTTCTGAGTCTTGCAGCCAGGCTGCCACTTTGCTCTGGCCGGTGGTACAGGTGGCAGGGAGGTTGCTGCTGCTGCTAGGTAACGGGGACAGCCATGGGAAGCTGCTCGTCTGCACCTATGATGAACAGAAAGGGACGAAGGGCATGTTACACGAAGCAGACTCAACCTACTTCTGAGCCTAAAAAATACCATTATTCTCAAAGCGGCACTGGAGAAGAGGAGAAGTGATGTGTTCAACATATGGAAGGGCATCTTGGCTACATGCGCTATGTGCTTAGTGAAGTCAAAATTCATAAGCAATGGCAACACCCTCACTAAGCTGCTGTCTCTGGTAGACAATGAAGGGGCTGTATGAGATAGAACATCTTCAGACGATGTTCTCAGGGACCCAGCAACTCAGATTCCCTGTCTTACAATTAGGCAGTGAGCTGCATTTGATCCAGTATCCTTACTGCAGCCCTCTCACCTCACCAGTGGAGGTCTTTCCTTTGCAAAAGTTCCCTTTATCCTTATGATCAGCTCAAGGTCTCACCATCAACTTATGATGCCTAAAGGCATCATCATCCGCCAGAAGCAACCTTGGGATGCTTTGAATGTATCTTGAAAAGTGGAATACATAAAAAAGCAGTCTTGGGAAGTTATTATCAATGGCTCATAGACTTTGCATTAAAGGGACTTATGTGAAATACAGTTGTATAAAGTGTGTAGGTGCTGAGGTGAGAGCAGTAAACAGAAAAAGCAGCTTATTTTCCCAAAAGTGGAAATGAATTTAGAAGGCTATATTTGACTTTAATATCCAATTACAACTGATTGTGTCTCCTTTCAAGCATTATGAAATGAACGATGCACATATTTAGTGAACCCAGACTTATTTATTATCCCCACAGGGCCACAAACCAATTAACAGTCAGAAGCCTCATAATTTGATACTCAGAATGCAAGCAAAGTGATAAAACCTCTTTCCCTCTTCACTGTAGTTTGATAAATATAATGGCAATCATTCACTGAATTAGGTATGTCATCTGTAACTGGCGCAGTAGATCTTTTCTGAAAATCAGAGCTGAAGAGTTTTCTTTATCTAAGACAAACAGTGGGGGAGTATTTAGTTTTAACTCTCCATTCTCAGGTCTCACCTAAGTTAATTAATAAATAACCCAATGGATGAGAATAATACCCTGTGTCAAAGAGGCAAGCAGAAGCTAAAAGAACCAAAGCACCAAATATTTATAATTTAAAATATCCACCTTGGATACATTTTTTTATTTAATTGGTTGAACTCCAGGATTCCTTCTACTCAGCAATGCAAACAGGAGGCCCAGAGAAAACTGGAAAGGAGGAAACTGGAGAGAATCTTGAGCACGTGGGTTGGGTCACACCCTGCTTTCTTGGTTAGTTGACCCCTTGACTTCTTGGATAGTTCTTTCATTTAGGAACTGCTTAGTGTCAGGGTTAACCCAACACTATGTTCTTAGGAGAAAGAGACTTTGGCAAGGCTACAATCACATAAAATAACGTAAGGTCGGAGTGCCTTGTGAAATACAATTAATACAAGACTATTTCATTAGTCTTGCAGTTCCTCCGTGAGTTTTTTCAATTACTTGCAAGGGAAACTTGAATATATACACTACACATATATGTTACATATACATTGATAACTAAGGAAACACTGAAGAACAGAATCTTCACTAAAACCTTCTTGAACCAACACTTCCCAACAAACATCTCTGTTCTCAGTATGAGGTGCCAGGTGGGAGGACCCCTGGGCAGAGCATGCTGGTTATGGTTCAGAAAACCCAATTACTGAATCAAAGGCAGAAACAGCTGTCTCCCTGCCTGTTGTCTTAACTCTGCTTTCCAAAAGACAACACTTCCAGCTTTTCAGCAACACAGAAAACAAAATCTTAGCACAGCCCAAAGACTAACCTCAGCCTCCTTCAATCTGGTACCCAGTATTATGGAAAGGACGCTGGTTTTGGAAACAGAGTGATCTGGATTCAGATCCTGACTCAGCTGTTTAATGGCTATGGATCTTCTGGAAAAATATTTTATGGTTCCTGAGATTTGGCTATAATGACAGATTAGAGGTGAAAGAATGCTGACCACAGTGCACAGGCACTCACATGGGCTGGCTTTTGTCATATTCTCTTGCCCACTTGCAATGACTTCATGAAGAAATTTACTGGTCTCTTCCAAAGTCATCAATCTATTACACCTCAAGGAAAGAAAACAAGTTCCCAAATCCTGCAGTCTTCTTGTTACCACCCCAGAAGACACGGATCCCTAGACATCCATAGGTTCACCCTTCCTAATACTCCAACAATTCATATAACATTAAAATGTAGAAAATTAATAGAAAAGAAAAGTAACCATTAATTCTTTTGGAGATTCACATTTCTGTCAAATCTATCTATTTCTACATATGATGACTTGGATGCCAAATGTCACTGTTGTCTTCAAAGGGTGAGTTTGCAAAGCAAATCTTCTCTTTCTTGTTTTTCAAACGAAACCTAGTCTCTATGATTTCTTATATATATATATATATATATATATATATAAGACTTATTTATTTATGCTTACAGAATTGGCATACAGGCCAGAGGTGCAGGGGAGGTGAGATGCTTCACCAGAGACAGAGTGGGGAGAAGAACAGGCAGATCAATGAAGTACACTACTGAGGGGAGCAGCCGGTGAGACAGGAGATGTCTGCCGTGCTGTGTGGATCACCTCCCAGTGAGGTATCAAACTTGCACTGAAGCGGCTGCAGCTAGCTTGTAGTGCTGCAAACTATCTCGTCGTTCTGCCAGAAAGGGCCTCTTTTTTTTTTTAAGACTTATTTATTTATGCATACAGAACTGGGGTACAGGCCAGAAGTGCTGGGGCAGTGAGAGGATTCACTAGAGACAGAGTGGTGAGCAGAACAGGCAGATCGACGAAGTACACTGCTCAGGGGACTGCTGCGCCATGTGGGTCATCTCCCTGGCCAGGATGGAACTTGTGCTGTGGCTGTGGCCGTTGTACCACCAGGGAGGGCCCTGCATAATTTCTTTAGCAATTTCTGGGCTTATTTTTCGATAATGAAGACATACCTTTCCATCCACCACAGACACATTGGCAGCTGGTGAGGATTCAGCTGTGGAGGTTGAAGGAAATATGTGAAAACTAGCATCTCGTGGGGATCTCACAATTTCATTCTGCCGATACAATCGGTGATGGCGCAGTTTGGACACCCATCCATCAAACCAGTCCTGGGATTTCACCTGAAACAATAAATAAGAGGAGAAGGTGACGGTGGAGCCAATCTCCTGGTTACCAGTGATAAAGGTAAATGATAGTGATAATGGCAGAGAAACTAATGAAAAGTGACTTCACCTTCAAATGATAGATGTGCTCTTCTGTGTCAAGATCTATTCTCCGAGCTTTCTTTTTTATTGACATAACAGAGAGTCCAACATCGATGCTCCCATGGACCTTTCCTTTTTGAATCTGAAATCAAAAGACTTCTAGGTAGACTGGGAAGATACATAATTTGATTTGCCTCTGTATTAATGTGAACTTAATGTAACCTTCAACTTCTCTATGGAAAATGGACTACTACACCCTTACTACACCAAGCAAAAATGATTAAGATTCAGAGGTTAATTTTTTTGTTGTTGTTGTTTTGTTTTTTTATTTATGCTTACAGAACTGGGGTATAGGCCAGAGGTGTGGTGGGTGAGAGGATTCACCAGCGACAGAGTGGGGAGCAGAACAGGCAGATCAACAAAGTACACTGCTGAGGGGAGCAGCGGGCGGGTCAGGAGAGGTCTGCCACGCCATGTGGGTCAGTTCCCTGGCTGGGAATTGAACTCATGCTGCAGTGGCTTCACAGAGCTTTATCATGCGGTGCTTTAACCCATTGTGCCACCAGGGAGAGCCCCCTGGGGTTAAGGTTTCTAATTTAGGGACAGATGAAGCTGCAACTTGCAATAACTTCACACCAATTTCAATGAGATTGCTCATCTATTTATTCCTGCTTTTGCCACTATATATAGTATGATTTCTTCATAATTCTAGGTTGTATAGCATACATTCCAAAAAGATATCTTTAGTAGTTTCTAAATATAACCATGGTCAGCCCTTGACTTATAACCCAGAAGATCCCAAGTAATAAGCTACAAGACAGCAGCTGGGACAGAATTAGGCAGCTGGGACCAGAGGGCCAACGCCACCAGCTCTTGCTTCTGGCTGCCCTCATCTGACCAAGAACACGTAGCTGGAAGAGATGGGGACAAAACTGGAATCCAAGCATCTGTTATTTCCCATGTACCATGACGACAAGGAGGGAATTTTCCAGTTTTGCATGTAAACACTACTTTTTATATTAAAGAAAAATAATTTGAATTAATTTTTGGAAGTTGAGAATCCCAAGATAAAAGGATACATGAAATAGAAATGAAGCTGATAACATAAGTTGTAAAAGCACATCTATAAAAGAATAAAGTTTGCTTTAAATCATCAAAAAAAAAAGCACATAAAGCAAAGCAGACCCCAAAAAAGCCTGTTTGGGCTTCTCTCTAACACAGAAAGGGCAATTTTTTCTTAGAATGTCACTTTTAGAGTTAAGTTTCTGTTTTTAACAAATATATAACAAGAGTTAAATTAAATCTTCATGCACCAGTTTGCAATTTTATTCTAGCTTGAACATAAGCATAAACCAGACCTTTCATGGAACAGGGAGGCTTGTTAGTTCATTAAATCCTACAGATGTGGAAATGTGCACGGCTGGTAACGAAAGCACAAGGTTATACAATTGTGGTGTTTACTCACTTCAAGCAGAATTCTAAATCAACCTCTGAGACATGTCCTGTGTGTTACTTACATCAAGTGGTGCCTTTGAGTACTTTAACATTCCATTATCCAGGACAAAAAAACGCTGCAAGAATAAAACAGCTCCCAGTTATTGTCTGTATATAAGTTATATAAAACAGTCACAAATGTGGCCTTTATTTCTTGCCTTTTCTTAATCAACATTTGATGATTTAATGTATTTAATGTGGCACCTGGCCACCATCAATCACACTACATGATAAGAACATTAGAGTTTAAGTTTCATACTGTTAATCCCGTAGGGATCTTCCAGACAAATCACAGTTTTTCTTAACAGGGAGTTAAGGGTAGGGTGGGGAGAGGAATCTCAAGAGTCTGAGATTTCTGAATGAACCACACTGGAACATTTTTGAATGTGAGAAGAAAGAATATCCTGAGTTAGGTCACAGTGCTTCTGAGAGGCTTGTCTACAGGGACTCTTATTTTATTCTGGAGGTACACTCTTGCATTTCCCTAGATAACACAGAAAATTCCTGAAAATGCCCATATTTATTAACAGAAATCAGTGGCTTGGGTCTATAAATAATGAATTATCTAGAAAGATTAAGAAATTGCCTTAGTAATATGCTTGCATCTCCAGTTATAAAAATGCTTATGGTTTACTACTAGTAAAAGGTATTAAAAATTATTTTTGAATTTGAATAAGAGTAAAAAAATATCAATAAGTAAAAGAGACCATAGGCAAATTTGGTCTCCTCTAAAGTGATCCTGGTTCAGTCTAAATCAATCTAGCCATGTTTACTCCACAAACACTCTCTTTCCATGTCAATTTACAAGAGAAGGAAGAGTTTCCAGGCCCCCTCCAATAGTGGGTTCAGGGAGGGAGTCATTCCACTGCTGGAAAGTGGCATTGCAGTAAGTTTTTATATGTTCCAGGAACTCTTTGCTGCTGAGATGGCAAGCAGTCAGGCCCAGTGGCACAGGACTCAGATGGCTTTGTTCGAGCTAACCCCTTTGTTACAGGTTAGCGGTAAAAGAAGCAAGCACCATAGAAATAATCGCTACAGTCTCTACATTCATTGCTCAGTTACCCATGACTTGGGCAATCGGCTGATGGTTGCATAAATGATGATTTAGAGACCAGGAGATAAGGCAATGCAAGGGAGAGCCTCCTACTTATTTATGTAGCAAATGTTCATAGGCATGGTACAGAAAAGCTGCTTCTGAGTCATAGCCAGTTTTGCTGGAACATGAACTGAGAGTACAAAAGTTAGGGATTTATCTTTAAAAAGTTTTTGACCTCATTGTTCTTTTATTTCCATATATGGCTGTCAGGGATTTTCATGGGGGTAACCTATAGGATGGTTAGAGATTAGAAAGGCCATTGATTCAAGGAATTGCAGTGTCCAAGTAAGAATGCAGGCAAAAGCTGATTCTAGGAAGGGGTCTGATCAGTTGGTGAAAAGTCAAGAAAAACAGGAAAGAGAGATTCCTGGAATTTGGATATTATAATGGGTACAGTGGAGACTGAGAAGTGTTCTGATGAGTGAGAGGTTCTATTAGTCAGAACCCTCTTAGACCTTGTTGTTTTCTTCCAACCTGAGAGGAAAATGGGGTTACATTCCCATCTTAATTCTTAAGTCTTTCCCCTACAGAGCAAAGAGTATATATCTTCAAGAATATTATAAAGCAAAACCTCCTACTTTGGGCTAATGGGCAGTCACCACATGGTCATAGGAGCCAACAAAGTCATTTGCCCTGAGATGAATCCATCAGCAGATGTGGCCAGTATATGAACCTATTCCTGTAGTGATTTCAGAGAAGATGCTGGTAATGGATCAACAGATTGATACAGAAAGTGGAGGATAACTTTCTCCTCAATGCAACAATGGAGTTTAAAATATTTTCTCCAAAATTTTAACTGGAAGGTAGAACAAGGCTGTGGGGGTAGGGTAGAAAGGAACAAGCCTTATGCTTTACAGGCAGTACACAAACTTTCAAAACCATCTTCCACCTTTAGCTTAAGAAATTTACCCCTACAGAATGAAATACAACGTTATATATGTTTATCACAATAACATTAACAGTAAAAATCAAACACATCTTACATTGCCAGCACTAAGGAATTGATGAATGATGGAGGTGTATATAAATCCATGCATGCATTTAAAAACACTCATATTTAGAAGGATAGTCAAAAAGGACATATTCATATTATTTAAGAGAAAAAAGCAGGATCAATAACAATGCATACAAACTAGATGTCAAAAGTATGTATTTATATTACAGATGATAGGTATAATAGTTTGCAGCCTGTATTGTTAAAAGTCCTGAAAATTAGTTTTACACATACAACCATATTCTTGGTTTTCCGCCTACTGATATCAAATAAGATTTTCTCTATTATGAAGATGATCTGAACTTGAATGTGATGAAAACATTACCTTGTGCCAACCCTTTAAAGGCCATTTTCTTTTCTTTAACATAAAGCCTTCATGTTTGTCTGGTCTCTGGACATTGGTTTGGCCTATTTTCAGCCCTTCTATAATTTCCCAGCTGTCAGCTTCCTGAGAGAAAAGAAGAAAAACAAATCACGTTCCTCAGTGCTTGATGACACACTTAAAGCAGATTCTTCAGTAGAAGTTGCTTTTGAAACAACACTCAACCCACCAGAAGTATGAATAGCATTCTGGAGAAAATTCTAACAGGCACTTATAATAGAAGTTAAAATGATTTCCAGGTAGATCTGGGGGGATGTGGGCCCATCAGAAACTCCTTGGAGATGGAGTTTGGGGTCGAATGGAATTTCGATTGCCTAGACTCAAAGGACTTAAAATACATTTTTCCAGACAGTCAATCTCTGGACACCCAGGCACTTTAAAATTTGAAAACAAATGTTCAACTAGTGTGTGGACTTGCTTTCTGCGTAGAAATGGAAAAGACAAGAGTCATTTACACAGCTTGCAACCAGTGAACACTGAAGCTCTGCAGACAACTGCTTCCTCTCAGTGAAGGCTGCTGATTTCAGGGCACCCATAAAATGCCCGATCCTGCTTGGCAACACACACCAAGAAGTCCAGGCTTTTGAAAAAACAAATTCTGGATTGCAAGGAAAGAAACTAGGCATTGCATAAAATCTAAGATTTTATAGTCCATAGTGCCACCCTCCTCTGTTAAAAATGAACTAAGTCACAGTTTCCTGTTCTATAAGACATTTATCTATGGTGTTTAATTTTTTTGTAATGAATAGTCAATATTTTAAAATCAGAGTTCAGGCTTTAAAAATGTAACTTTCTAACATTTTCAAAATGTTTATAAGGTCTGGCAACATTGGGTATGCCCAGAACAAGAAAGCCTTGGGCCTGCTTCCCTGATGACTAGCTGGCTTCTAGCAATACCCTGGGATTTAAACGCCCGGGATTAGAGGATTTCTAGGGACCCATGAAGCTCAAAGAAACTGTGGCCTGGCAAATACTCAGATTTCAGGCATGTGGCACAGTTAAGCATCAGGGACTAGAACAAGCAGGTTACACCCAGGCAAAAGTGCTCAGTCCTGCCCCCAGCGCAGGAAAGCACATCTCTCTGTGTAGCCCCCATTGCTGCCTTAGCAGTTGGGCACAGCTCCATAGATCAAGGCAGACGCCAAGGCAGAACGTGCCACCCCAAATTAACCTGGTAAGTTGCCTTCTACAAAGACACATCCTCTCAGAAATTATCCTCCTACTGCAGAACAAATGTTTTGACAAGATGGCCAAAGGGTTCCAGCTCGGGGCAGGTGAATTTGCTGGCCCTGAGTGTCCAGGTGCTGGCTTCCCAGACGGGCTGAAAGAATGTGAGGTTCTGATAAAGGCCAGAAGAGGTTATTAACCCTGGATATGGGGGCAGGAAGAGAGAGGGCTGAATATTTACCATCTAATTCTCTTCACCCTTTCGTCATCCCAGAAGCTGCTTTCCCCATGGTCAAGTCAAATCTACTGTTAAGTCCAATCGCACAGACATTGGTTGGGATTTTCATACAAAGTCATGCTTCCATGAGATGTGCCTGAACACTGCTCCATTTTAACATTTTTTTTAAAGATTTATTTATTTATGCATACAAAACTGGGGTACAGGCCAGAGGTGCAGGGGCGGTGAGAGGATTCACCAGAAAGAGTGGGGAGCAGAACAGGCTGACTGATGAAGTACACTGCTGAGGGGAGCAGTGAGCAGGTCAGGAGAGGTCTGCCTCGCCATGTGGATCACCTACGGGACCAGGGATATCGAACTCATGCTTTAGCTTCTTAGTACTGAGCTTTAACCTGCTGCACCACTAGGGAGGGCCCCATTTTAACATGTTTAAGGCAAGAAGATACTCTTACTTCTGAAAAGTTTGTACAGATAGATAGCATCTCGGCCTTGGAGTTCTTTGGCCCCAGTGATCCCCTCAAAGGAAAAGCCACTTTAGACCAGTATCATTTCTTTATCTTCTCTGTCATCTCTGAGGGGGCTAGTGAATGAACTATCTACATTACAGAAACACACCTGCCAGCCTTCACTTGGTAGCAATAAGAACCCTTCAAAGTGTCTGTAAATTTCCCATTACATTAAAAAAAACACCCTACTAAGTGATTTCCTACTTGAAGATATTGTCAGAAATGGATTGTTTTGCTCAAAAATGTTAATTACATAAGTGTTTCTTAAAAAATGTTGCTGTAATACAACTTCGGGCTGTAAAGCAAGATTTCTGGACAATAGTGGTGGAGGTGACACTATCACAGAGCACAAAGTGCAGGCCTTGGCATCTCCATTCTTAAACACGGAACTGTAATCCAACAAATGAGGATGGCTTGTGAATAACATTAGAACCGGAAAAGGTCATACATTCCTAAGAAGAGTCCAGAATCTGGTTTTCTACTCTCACCAGAAAACTAGTAAAAATGTCTATACAGAGGATGCATTTCTATTATGAATAATGAATTTCTACATATTTATTTTTAAAGATTTATTTATTTATGCATACAGAACTGGGGTACAGGCCAGAGGCTCAGGGATGGTGAGAGGATTCACCAGAGACAGAGTGGGGAGCAAAACAGGCTGACTGACAATTACACTGCTGAGGGGAGCAGCAGGCAGGTCAGGAGAGGTCTGGCGCGCCATGTGGGTCATCTCCGGGGCAGGCAGGGACCAAACTCGTGCTGAAGTGGCTTTAGCTTCCTAGTGCTGTGTTGTAACCTGCTGCGCCACCAGGGAAGGCCACTACATACTTATTTTTAAAGGTTTAGTGTAATCAAGAAATTAAAAAGAATAACTCTATATTTGTGGAAATATATTCATTAGCACTCTCTTTGCTCCTAGAGCAGTATCTGCTCTATTGAAGGATGTTTCTGAGGGCAAGGGAGTCAGGTACACATACACCGGATGACTGACCATCTGTTTTCTTTAAAACTCTTGTTTTGGGCCCTCCCTGGTGGCACAGTGGGTTAAGGTGCAGCACTGCAAGCAAGCAGCAGCCACTTCAATGCGAGTTTGATCCCTGCCCCGGAGGTGACCACATGGCGTAGCAGACCTCCCCTGTCTCACCCGCTGCTCCCTTCAGCAGTGTACTTCGTCGATCTGCCTGTTCTGCTCCCCATTCTGTCTCTGGTGAATTCTCTCACCACCCCTGCACCTCTGGCCTGTACCCAAGTTCTGTATGCATAAATAAATAAATCTTTAAAAAACAAGAAACTCTTGTTTTGAGCTGAGATTGCTGCTCCATGATGCTGACTGGCCAAAGGAGTCCTGGACATTAACCCCTGCAGATTCACCAGGATCTAGATGACCAGGAGGCTGTGAACAAGTTCTGGGAGCTGAACATGACGAATACCAGCAACATCAGCTGTGACAGGCTGTTCTGATGTGCTGTTTGCTTATGACTAACTGGTTTTGTTTAACTCATTATTAAAAGGCCAGCTCAAAATGAGATGCAGAACAGTTAATTCAGGGTTCTGTGCCTACTGTTCTCTCAGATCACTGGACAGTGATCTGAAAAATAAAAGTGCTTATAGAGTCCATGCCTGTCTCTATTGGTTTTTAGTTATGAGGCAGCAAAACCCAGGCCTATTCCCAGTAATAGTTCTATTTTTGGTATCTCACCCATGATAGCATCTCTTGAATAATAGCATTTTTATTTTTATTTTTGGCTAGATCTTATCTATTTGAAGACTAATGCTGTCTGATTTATTTTGCATGTGGATGTGTGTGCATGTGTGGAAGGAATACTCTGGGTAGCTTGTGAAAATAAAAACATTTAATAATAAGTACAACAACTTTTAAAATTTGTTTCTGATTAAATTCAAGATGTAATAAGAGGTTATACTTATATAGCTGTGGCTACTACTTTCTATGACACTAGCTTTTCCTCCTTGGGTATTTAACTGCTCGGATATCAGCAGGGAGGCATTTAATATAGAAAAGATGAAAAGAACTTTTTTTAAAATATAAAGGTGGTAGCTCTGAACAAATAATTCCATTTGCTCTGATGCAATATTATGGAATATGAAAGAAATTGGAAAGAATCTTAATATAGTTTTTATAGTTAAATAAGTTGTCAAATTGACAAAGAGGAAAAGGATAAAGGAGAGCAAACAATCTGCTTTCTACTTCAACTATAAGTGGTGATAATTTTCCAAATAAGGTGTGTAAGAAATGATATAACCCATCTCATTCCTTAATACAATCCATCTCTATGCTTAATAGAGTAGGTTTATCTTAAGAATGCTAAAATTATTTTCTGAAAAGGAAAGCTTTTTTATAACTACACTTGGTGTTAATTCTGTTTAAAGCAATCTCCCAATTTTCTGTAGGTTTACTTTTAATAGAGCAGTCAAAAGTCAGATTTGACTGGAGCCTGATACATAAACACATCTGCTATGACAGAAGTTTTAAAAATATTTTTGATCTAATAATAGCTAAAAACAGAAGGTAACCTACTAAATAAGTCCGTGAATTTGAGACATTTCCTCTCTCAAGGGCACATGACATGTGCCTATGTGCTTGGGAAGCGAGTGGGGGCCATACATATATGAATGGAAATGCTCTGGGAGGCAAAAGCTCCAGACAAAGAACTTGAGCAAACCCTGAGACAGAACAATGTGTGCATCCTCCATGAACCAGCACCCTAGAAGTTCATCATCTCTCAAAGGGTTGAGAGAAGGTGAGATGCCTTGGTACCTGGATTGGCCCCTGACTTCATGGGGCCCCAAGAGATGTAGTGTCTACGAATATAGAAACACAAGAAGAATATTCATCCTACATCAAGACCCAAGTGGGCACCAGCTTGAAAGATAATGGGAAGTGGAGGCTGTTGGTGCCCTAGGTAGACCCCTGCATAGGCCTGAGGACCCTGTCCTGGGCTGCTGGAAACATGGAAAACAGCTCAGGCTGGCAGTTGCCCCCTTCTATGGGAACGCACTGCTTGGCCACTCCCAGTTCCTCCCTCCACCTATGAATACTCATGTTCTTCTCTAAAAGTAGCCCTACAGGATTCTTCATCAAAGGCTGCTCAGTACCTCCTTACCCAGTCTACCTTCAGCTCCAGTTTAGCATGTCTCTGTAACACACTGTTCTATGACATATATTTTTTCTTTTATATCTATCTAGCAGTTTTTTCTTCTTTTTACTCTGGGCAAGTTACTAATTCTTCATCTCCATATTTGTGAAACATAAGGACTATTTACACTGTATGGAGCTATAATAAATAGAACAATGTATTTAAGCACTTAGCATGATGTCTGGCATGCAGTATGTGAGCAATAATGGTAATTGTTATTATCATCATTGATGAACTTAGTCACTTTTTTAAAAAAAGATTTATTTATGTATGTTTATAGAATTGGGGTACAGACCAGAGGTATGGTGGGTGAGAGGATTCACCAGAGACAGAGTGGAAAGCAGAACAGGCAGATTGACAAAGTACACTGCAGAGGGGCTCAGTGGGTGGCATCAGGAGAGGTCTGCTGTGCCATGTGGGTCAGCTCCCTGGCAGGGGGATTGCACTCATGCTGTAGTGGCTTCAAAGAGCTTCGTAATGCAGTGCTTTAACCTGTTGCGCCACCAGAACCTACTGACTTTTTTCTATGACCTTGGCATAAGAATACTTTTTTTGCTTTCCAACAAGGAATCACTATGTTTTCTCTTGTCTTTTCTCTTTAAAATAAAGAGAATTCTGTATCTTTGTATGTAACCCTGCAAATCCCAGAAAAATGTACTTTCATCTATTCCCTTCTTACACAGGGCACAGATACCCTCTCCCCTGTAGGCAAAAAGACAAGGGCAGCACAGCTTAGGGGAGTCGGCTGTAGGAGTTCTTTATAGTTCAGCCTGCCTTACATCAGGCTTCACGCCACCTGAACAAGCACCACCTTCCATCACTGACCTTGGCCAGGGGCACAGGCTCAGGTTCAAGCAATTGTCGACTCACAGAGGGCTCAGTGCCAGAGGAAGCAGTCCTCTCCAGTATGTGGATACTCTGAAACACAAGAAAAATGAGCCCAGAATTAGACAACCCATTTCTCGTGTAGCTGGGCATAGCAGTGAGAGCCCAGAGATCACAGTAAAAACCATGAGTTCTGTGAAAAAACGACACAATCACTGAAGGAACCCCAGAGAGCAGCAACTGTCAGGAAATTGTTAACACTGGTTTTGTTTTCCCTCTTCTGGATTTGCTGTGAAAATGTGCTGCAGTGTTGGCTTCAGTCTTAAGAAAGTCAGAGAACAATAGCTCTTGCAACATGTTAGGATACAAATTTAAAAACAAAAAGAGAGCGTCTGAACACTTTATGAAAACAGTATACCCATGACTCAGGCAGTGAACCTTTCATAGAAATATTTGCTCATCTCTTCAAGAGTAATGGACAAAGAGAAAGGTCTGTATCAGAAAGTTCAGAGCCTCAACACTATTTGTTCTCTAGAGTTCATACAAAAATGTACAGAGAATAAACCATATTCATCAAGTAGAGCAAAGAGTACATGTCTTTTACAAAGAGATAAAAAGCATTCATAGTCAGCAAGATAGTATTCCAATAGAAAACCAGGCAAGGTATGAGGATGGGCAACAGATGTAGAATATTTGAAAAAATGCTCAACTTCAACTTCAGAAAATACCCAGGAAGTGAAAACCAAAATCAAGAATTTTTTTTAACCAGCCCATGTGAAGAATCGATCAGGGCTGAAAAAAAAAAAAAAAAAAGAATATACATTGGGTATGATCCTTCCGAAGAAGAATTCTATAATTGTATTGAAAACTGTTGGACAAAAAAAAGTATATATCTCATTTATTTAGCAATTATCTCATTTATTTAGCAATCCCACAGCTAAGTTTTTAAGGAAACACTTAAATTAGTATGCAAAGGTCTAAGAATAGAACAGCTATGTTTATCAAAGCATTGTTCACTGTAGTAAAATATATGTTATGTGAGAACAGGATAGGCTTTAAAAAAAAAAACCATACAGTGACTCAGTATGACAATATGGATCTACATATATTGATATGATGTCTGTCAACTGAAAAATCAGACTACAGAAAGTACATAAAATGATGTACTTTCTCTCTCTTTCTCTCTCTCTCTCTCTGTAGATGTACAGTTCTATATAATCAAAATATATTCCAGAATACTAACAGTAACTATATAAAGGTGATGGAGATTATAAGCTATATTTAATTTTTTGTGAATATTTTATAATTTTTAATGTAATAGTTATTTCTGTATATGGGAAAAAACAAGCACTTGATATACAGAAATAAATTTGAAAAAATAAACTCAACAGAGTTCATGTTCAAATGTAGGTTGAAAATGTAATGTATACTTTTACTTCATAAGATTTAATTTATAAGATTTCATTGTTTTAACAGAAAAGTTTGGTATTTTATTTACTTACTGAAGTCTCTATTTGTGATACGTTATTTGAAAATTTAATATTTGTATTTTCGTGAAGAAAATTATACTCCAACCTGTGCCAAGTTATTTTAACTTTTTTGTAAATTCTCAATGTTTTGGTAACTTTCTATTACCCAGAAAACAAGGGGTCTGGGTAAATCCTACCTTCTCAAATCCTACCTGAATGCATTAGAAAAGAATTAGAAAAGAATTAGAAAAGAATTAGGGAGATTGATGAGTTGTTTTTACTTCTCCATTTTCTGAGGAACAGAAGAAATAAGGACAGATATTTGTGGGTCAAATATAAAGTTGGACAGGAATGAGCAAGAATTCCTAATCTGTCAGCCATAGTGTCCAAACCCAATTAAGTATTAGCTGGTACTGGGAAGATGCGAGAATCCAGTTGTTTTCTACTAGTCCAGAGATCACAGTTTACAGGGATGTACAATAATACCATTCTTCTCACTAAAATTTGTTTTAGAAATATGTGTTTTTTAATAAAAAAGAAAATTCAAGTGAAAAAAGGGTCTGTTGTAACTTTGAAATAAAAAAATTTAAGTTTTAAAATTTCTGACACAGTAACTATTGATAGATATAACCCACATAAACAAAAACTCTGAAGTCTTCAATCATTTTTAGCCTGCAAAGAGTTCCCAAGATCAAAAGAAATGGCTTCTAACCTCTATTCTAGAAGAACTACTATTAAAAATTCAGGTTCATTACTGGAATGGAGAGTTCTGATTTGCATATAAGTTATTTCCTTTCTCATAATGTTTCAAGGTAAAGCATTTACAAAAAAAAATTTCAAAATTTACAAATAGCTGAATCCACCTTAAGCCAAGTTATATAAAACTACTCATTAATAATACCACTAAGAGGAACACAAACCTTATTTCATGTACTGCAGAAATATGCCTTAGCAAAACTTCAATAAATTTAAGTTGTATGAAGGTAAAAAGTTGTTAAAAAGGATATTTTTTAACTGTATGAGTTGACTTTTAAAAGAATTACTAGCAATATAGATATACATAAGCATAACTATATTACAGATATGAAATGCTTCCACCTTGCCCACAGCAAACAACTTTATATTTTGAGATAATTTCCTATAGTAAAAGATGTTTCCATGAAGTGACTTTCAAAAATCAAGAACTGAAACTTTTTAGTAACTGCAATTTAAGTATAAAAAGTTTCAGGAAAGTAAATAAAATGAAGTAGAAACCCAGAAACTGCCAATGAAATGTGCCATTCCTCATTCACTCACTCATTGGTTCAGTTAATCAACAAATAAATATTTGGCACCTATAGTGATCCAGGTGCAGACAACAGGGTGATAGAAACAAAACAAAGAAACCTGTAATGCTCATATTCTAGAGAGAGGTATTATCATTCCAGAGACCAAGTAAGGCTGAATAAATTCTGTAAGTCTACAAATTAACTCTGTTTCATGAAGTTACTGCTTTTACTTAATTGTTCCTAGTGAAATATGTTAGTCTGGCCTTGTCTTTAAGAACTCTCCCCTATTCCTAGGCTTGCAAGGTTGCTGAGCAATAAAACACACATACATCATCTCCCTCTCCCTCTTGGTAAGGAAAGTAAAGCTTGGAAAGAAACTTGATCTTAGCAACTGTATGAGCAAAAAATAAAGGATTAATTCAAAGAGTTTAGCCTGGAGAAGGTAACTAAACCCCTTAATTTCTAAACCTAACCACATAAACATCAATTTAGGATAACGTGTGATAAAAAACAAGTTTTGTCTCTATATATACCTGAGGCAACTTAAAATGTTGATAGAATTTTGTTGATGAGAAGAGTTAGCAACTACACAGATCAGGCCAGAATCTGTAAAATATCTACCACAGAACCTCACAAAGACTACAATATTGGCTCCTTCTACAGTTAATTTTACAGAACAATTTAAACTATGGAAGCAAATTACAGGTTCATGGGTTTCAAGCATGGCACAATATAGCACATACTCAACTGAGTGAAAAATCCAAACCTCTTATTTTGTTAATTTGCCAAGGCACAGAGAATTAGAAAAATATTTACTTAGTAATAGTAGGTAAAATTAATACTTTTATTGTCATAAATATAAACTGACTTCAAAAAATAAACCCTCTCAGATCCAGTTGGTGTCACTCCCATATGTGATATAGAAAAATTGAAGTGTCAGAGTAGGGCAGACTTTAAAATCAACCCTTCAAAACTGACCATAGAGTTTGGCTTTCATAGAAGGAGGAGGGGGTGGAGAGAGAGGGGTGAAGTTAGGGGTGTGGGGGAACACAATGGGCTATGGAGGAGGACTATGGAGCTTCAGTGGTAAGAGAGTCACAGTGACTACAAAGGAAGTGGGGTGCAGAGATGGAACCCTGTATTGTCAAAACAAGTGTAACAAACTTGCTATACAAGACAAGGATAGCAAGGGTGTAACATAATGACACTTCAGTATTTAAAAAAAAAAAAAAGCTGTATCAAGCACCATAGTGAAAATGAAGAAACTAACAGCTCTTCTAGAAACATTCTAGCCTTATATGTATATTTATATTATCTATTATATTTATATATATTTGTCCAGTTACTACTGTCTATTCAAAAATATATCATATATCCACTATCTTAAGAATTATCTTCAAATCCATGGTTTTTAAAACCAAAAGCAGACCCCTGAAATTATATGACACACATAACCATTCATTATTTTAAATGAAATATCCAAGTATTTGAGTGCTATTTTTAAAAATAATAATGTTTTCATGGACCATGCCCAGCCGAGACTCTGGTTAGAGGGGGTGGTCCTTGAAGGTAGGGACCAGTTTAACCTCAGGTGACCTCCCACATCCTCCTGGCACAAGACCTTGCACTTAGCAGTCAGTAAAGATATTTTTCTGTAGCCAGAAAAAAAAAAAACAACTGGAAGTTTTCAACGCTCTCTGACTAATTTGTAAAGAACATTTTCTAAGCAATCATTAACACATGATTAGGCATAAAACTGCCTTCTAGCTTCATGTTGGAATTTTAAGAATCACAGCTCCAACTGGACAGAACTTTTGAAAACACTGAAATGGCTTAACTTTTAAATCTGAAAAATCTATGGACTGCTTGCAAGGAAAGCATTTGCTCATTAGATTTACATCTATGATTTTATGTCATTTTTATTTTACCATTTAACTTTCTAATCTATTCTGAAAGAAAAGCCATTCTTTTCATAAGATTTCCTTCCAGTTCATACGTTGAATGAGAACTTTCCCTCACACGCTGTTTTCATATTCTCCCACAGTGACCTGGAGACACATACTTTGTACATTCTTGGTGTTACACGTATAATACAAGCAGGTTAAATAAAGAGTTACACAGAACTGCTAATCATTCTTTTAAAATCACTTTCCTCTCAAATACCATCACTTCAACGTAATTTCTAGGTCAGTGTCTTCATAAAGACTTTTTAAAAAGAGCATTATCACACAGCTTGCCTTCCACAAGTGAGTGGGAGGTACAGATTTGCTCTGATTCCACTGGCCCCACACATGGAGAGCCCTCCCCTATTTCAGACATCCACCCCTCCAACAGGGAAGTACAATGGAGACCACTG